GCCATCGCAAGTAGGTTGGAGGCCATCGCAATTAGGTTGGAGGCCATTGCTATTGGGTTGGAGGCTTCCTCCTTTACACCATCCCATCCCGCCCACCGGCCTTCGCCAAGTCCGAGCTGTCCCAGCATCAGTGGCCAGGCGGCGCCCCGCAGCTCCGGCACATCGGCCGCCAAGAGTGCGGGGCCTCGGGACGAGGGCGGTCAGAGCCACCAGGGTCAGTACCCTGCTACTGCTCTACCCAATGGTCCAAAAAAGGTAGGGCCACTCTACCCAACTCTACCCTACTGCTCAGGGCCACTCTACCATCACTCAGCCCTTCAGCTCTTAGGGTTACCCGAGCCAGTGAGGCGGACGAGCGCTCGAGCCACCAGCGCTCGAGTGAAACTGTGTGGCTCTGGTGGAGTGATCGATGGGAGTCCGAGCTGGAGATGGGAGAGTTGGGGAGATGGTAGAGCTGAAGATCCTGAAGAAACCATCAACTTGCAGGTGTCTCATCGCGCATGGTAGTGGGGCGTCAACGAAGCTTGTTGAGAAGGATCTTGATGGTCTGATTCTATCTGATGGATTTCTTGCTTGGCCCTTGCTTTTCTTCGGAAGAACAATCGTTTGCAGCAACCAGACTGATTCAGTTGTCTCAACATGAGGCAACTGCTTCGTCCACACGAGCTGAGGCCACGAGGACTGGGGGCGGCACCCAGAAGAACTGGGGGCACCCTTTTTGGTGTGTCTACTAGCAACGGCCTCCAACCCAATAGCGATGGCCTCGCCAGCTTGATCCAGCTGTATGCCGTGCCTGGAAACGTTTCCACTCACCTCCCGGTCGCGACATCCATCGCTCGACTGGGCACCCAAACAGCTGACCAAAACAGCCTTCACCTTCACCTGCGCGGTGAAGCGGGTTTTTCTCCCAGCGCCGGTCCCTCACTGGGCGATGAAAGACATGGCAGAAATGGAAGAAAGACATGGCAGAAAGGTCCCCAAATAGATAGTGGCACGGTTTCTAAGACATTTTTAGTGGGGATCTACAAACTTCTATCTATTTGGGGGTCTGTATATGCACAGCCAGGTGTCCCAATTTCACAACAGACCAAATCCGCCCGCTTCGGCTTCGGTGCTGGGGCTGTATCCGGATGGCATAGTCAATTGCAAGATTTCAGCTTTAGCTGGGGGGTCCCCTTAATCGGCCAAGAAACCTGAGTTTTTGCAGGTTGTTAGGTTGTTAGAACGCAACAACCGTCGAAAATAACAGCATTTGATGAAGGTGACATGCGCAAAATGTTTGAGGCCTTCTTGAACAAGTTTGAAACAGAAAAAAAACAAGTTGACCTTTTTGAGATTTGGTCAAAAATAGCCTGTAGAACCGGCATTAACAAACATTCCTGGTCGGCTCTAGCTAACTACAAGTTCATATTACCCAGGTAGAACCGGGATGATGGGAATCTATATAATCTATGCATTTTATAAATAGCACTCGCAGTTTGAATTTAGCCACCACCAGTGCTTGCAACGATACGATAATGTCACAAATACCGCAACATGACCAATTCTCCCAGCGCCAGCGGACCCAGCCGCGTTACGCGGGTGTGAAGAGAGATCAAGAAAGACACGGTCTTTGAAGGCATTTTGGGGGGGAAACGGCCACGAAGCAAAAGGAAAACGAGCTGATTCTCCTAAGAAGTCCAAAATCCGTCCACTCTTTTCAACACTTATTGGCTAGCAGCTAGCACAAGGGGTTGCCCCACACCAGACGTGACCGTGAGCCGTGCACCAGTGACCCGTTGCGCCTTGCGAGGGATGAACCTCGGGGTTTGTGGTGGGAGACGTACTGAACAACATCCTCGATGTCGACTCTGAGCACTGGGACCACTTCCGAAAGTCGAAGGAAGGTCGAACTTGGAACAAGAAGGAGCCCGGAGCCACACCTTTTGAGAGGCCACGGTGGTGGAAGCACCCCCTTTAAACCCCTTTAAGTGCTTTAAAGGTGATTTTTGGTGTTGCTGAAAACGAACAGACGCAAGGCAAGGCCGGACACCTCGTGTCTCGACCTGACGAAGTTCCGCGGGTCTCAGGGAGTCTTCCCGTTCGTCAGGGAAGACGAAGCACCGTTTTGGTCGAGTCCCTTGAAGTGCAAACATGTAGATTCTTGGGACACCCAAGTTTTCAGGACCTTCCCGAACTCGGGTCATTGTACCTAGATCTTCCAACGGTGCTAGATGTCAGCCTTTTCATCCAGAAAACCAGCCAAAGGGCGGACTTCTTGCACAGTTGGAAGATCTAGGTATATCATATGACTTATGACCATCTTCGAAAGAGTCGACTGGACTCCCTCCCACTCACCCTGTTCAAATCCAAAAACCAGGGATGACTTTCCAAAAAACCCAGACCCTCCACCCGTCACTCCACCGAGACACACGCAGTCGCTTCGCAGGAGCCTCGCCTGTGAGCCAGCCAAGTCTTTGGGGAAGGGGGTCGATGCCCGGACAGATCGATGGGTTGATGAAGTTCATTTTCCTTGTTCCAGGACCACGGAGATTGGGTAGTTTTCTATGGACACCCCTGACTAAGGTCTTTTCCGTCCAATCACCCCAATCACCGTGGTCTTATGACAAGCAGCTTGAACTTCATGCACTTTCCAATGACGATGTTCAGAATTCCGCACTCCGTACCGGTCGGTCCTTCGCTTCGGCGCGCGCGGCGGTCGCGCGGTTGAACCGGGTCGGACGACCAAATGGGTAACACGTCGTTTGACCGACCAGCGGGGATCATTGGATCTATCCCCATTCGCCTTCCGTCCGAGCATTTAAACCGGGAAGGACCTTAGTATTTCTTTTTTTTACAGCCAAAGGCAAAGCCTGCGACTAAACAAGGACCTTAGTAAAACAAATGAATGTTCGGTCTCTCACTTGCGGACTGCGTCGCCCTTTTCAGTCACTCATCGGCTATCAGCCTCTTCGATCCGCTTTTGCCTCTGCTTGTGACAACAGCTTCACCAGTCAGGTGATTTTGATCACCATCGAAGTTCCAAACTTGGGGTCACCCTTCGTCAGAGCCGGAAAAGGGTCTCCTGGACTGAAAAGGTCGCACTCACCTATAGGCTCTGAGCATCTCTGAGCTCACTAGGTTGTTTTTTATTCACCTCAGTTGCAACCACTCACCTACTCACTCACCTCTAGTGTTCGCACTGGACTCTGCCGTTTTGGCTGTTTTGTCCGCATCGACAGCCGGCCTGGGCATCTCGGAGGATCGGCAAGATGCTCTCCTGGCGGCCGAGAAGACGCTGCCGGTGCGGAAGTCTTGAAGCGGAAGTGGTCTTCCTCCCTCCATCGTTGAGACCACTTCAAGCCAAACTGGATGAAGAGACGATGAGATTGATTTGATCAATGGATTTCACCAACTGATCAATGATAGTATGTACTGATCAATGCCTGTAGTATGTGTTTCGTCAAGAGTATTCAAGAGTCAAGAACGTTCTCCTGGAGCATGGCTACGATCTACCAAAACGCCAAGGTGGTCCACACCGTCCCACCAAACGCGCAGGTTGTCGCTCTTTTGGAACGATTTGGCCCCACCCTCCTTTTCAAGAACACTTTCCTGGACTTCCAGAGATTTGCTTGGCAAATCCACGGACCTCGCAGACGGACCCATAACGCCCGACCGCGCCCGAAAAAAGAAACACGCCCAGCACCGCGCAGGACCCATGGGCCAGTCAATCCGACGGTCCAGGGTGAAAAAGGCACGGTCGTTCAGCGCGGGCGGCTCGGCGGTGCGCGGGGTTCGGGCGGAAAATTGGCATCGATACCACTGTGACATCACTGTGACATTTCGCTGTAGTCGCTGGACTACAGGTTTTGAAGCTTCACGCCTATCCCAAGAATCAAAAAGGTGGCCAGATTACCACCCGCGAGACCTGTCGCTGCAGACATGCTCGAGGTCAAGGTCGTGGTCGAAGTGGTACAGGTGTAGGCGTTTGGGTCCCCGGTGTAGTTTCCTTCGGAACCCACCAAGGGATCCCAAACACGCATGCTGCTCACAGGGACCCAGCAATTGCTCAGATTTCCCAGCCAATCTTTGAACTTTACTCCTGTGCGCGCGACACGCGGAACCAAAGAACGCAAGGAACTCGAAGACACACCAAGGGGTGAACGTAGTTACTGGAAGGAAGTGAATTCATGAATAAGCATATCCACCACGTCCTGACAAGCAAATCCACTTGCAAGGGAAAGTCTAGAGTCTGGTTTGGTCACACGCCTTTTGTGGCACTGTGAAGCCAAAAGACTTTACCCGGCTGACAAACATACGCAAATAGCCAATGTAGAATCTTGTGTTTTTTTTTGAATGAGCCCTCATTTGGATTATGACAGCTCTTATGGGGGGTTATCCATATCAACAGTCTACAATTACAAAGTCTTCAGGACACAATTTCTGAGAAGCCTAAGACTCCGGGCCCGAACAAAAACCATGGGTTTAGGGTTTGGGGGCTGGGTCCAGACCTCCCTGCGGTCCGATGTCGGGCCTCCGTCGACGATTCTGAACGGAAAACACACTTCCTCTGTGTCGCATGAACCAAGGTTTCATCAACGAAACGTGCACATGAAAAGAACCCGTCGTTTCCTCCGCGACTCATGTCATCCGCGACTCGAAAAACCACCGGACTTCGGCAGTGGAAACGACCGACCAAGCCACCGTGGGAACGACCGACCAAGCCATCGCAGGTTCATGTGCCTTTTGGTGGTTCACTTGGACGGATCCGCTGGTTTAAGCAACCCAACCCAGTGCATCCCAGTTACTATACAAGGAACCAGGGATTCGTTCGGTCTATGGTTTTAGTCGAACTGGAACCACTGGGACTCACAGCGACATCGTGGTTTGCCTGGATGCCCTGGGCAAGCAATGGAACAAAGGATTTACAAGGCCATCTCTTGGGACATCCCATCGCAAACCTCACACCACGTAGCTCAACGCTACCGACCCAGGTCAGTCCCCTTCTGCCGCTCCAAGAAGCGCGGTGGCTAAAAAAAAGAAAACGCTACACCCCACCACCACCAGCCAGTTCGGGTCTATCAAACACCCTGACAGGGTGGGGTGCTGGACTGTTCCAACATCTTCCAGGGTCCAGGTGTCTTGGAATTCTTCAGAGGTCCTTCCAGCTGCTTTCCCGACCCTTTTCCTGGAGCTCACCAAACCGTTCTCCCTCCGTCCTGCAGTTTCCTGGTGAGTGAGACACCATGGAGACCCAGCAGTTACAGACCGGAGTTCGGGTGCCTTTTTGCTTCGAGACCTTCCGTCCTCACCACCATCCCGAACTCAGTGGTGCTGGGTGGGGGAGTTCTTCTGTTCAATCAAAGGTGGAGGTATCACTTTAGAACAGGCTTTTCTGAAGCAAAGCCCCCAGCAGCTGCGCTGTTCTACGACTGCTGAACCCCGGCATGGGGGTTCTGTTCTACGACTGAGCTCCTTGGTATTCCATGGTGAAGAGCTCGTTCCTTCGGTGGATGCCGTGCTCTGAACCATTCACCAGATAGCTCCGCAGCAGCGTGGGAGGCAAACGCCGCTCCATGTTGTTCACCAAGGCAACCATCCTGGGATACCCCCCAGCTGGGCCGCTGGGAGAAGGGCCGCTGTGGTCGCGCCACGCACGTGGAAAAACAAGTCGTTGGAGTGCTCTCATCTGTTTGAAGCTGAGAAGCTGGTGATTTGCAGGGGTCTAGACTTCCACTTCCATGACTGTCTTTTCTAGGGAGTGTCCCCACACCTGGAAGACCTCCCGCCTGGAAGACATGTCATGGACAGCCCCGAACTCGGAGTCCTTCGGGTCACCTCGCAGGTATGGCAGATTGACCTCTCCATCTCCCAACCCCTATTGGCAACTCAGCCGTTTCTGGACCTCTCCATCTCCCATCTCGCTTCTCCACCCCCCGGGTGCCTCGTGGTCCAGGTGCCGAGCTCTCCACCAAAGAGGCTCCAGTAAAGCAGCTGATCCGCATCCGCAGACCTCACGTGCTTGGGCGAGCGCGCGCTGCTCGGGTGCCGAGCTCGCGCCAGCGCGCCGTCGTGGGGTGGAGGCCAGGGCGCCTTTGTTTGGGGTTCGGTCTGGGTTTTGGTGCACCGAAACGGCCGACAAGAAGCACGCCAGCTGGGTGTCAGCGGAAATGGCTCTCCGTGTCGGTTCTGGTTCTGTGTTGTGAGTCAAAGATCCTCAGAAACAATTGGATTCGCCTGGCTTCGCATCAAAAGGCGAGTTTCTTATAGCTCAAAACCCGCAGTTCTTGTGTGGCGAGTGCCATCCAGTTTGACTGAGTTTGAACATCAAGCTTTGCACAGCATACTGAACTGCACTTTTCACAGCCCACCGTTTTGCGCCCAGCCCGTCGCCCCAGCGCCTGGTGAAGATGCCGAAGGTCATTCGGCCCGCAAAGTGGTTCAAGGCCTCGCTGCTTCACTGGAAGTGGTCGCGAAGTGGAGAGGAGAACACCACTGGAGGGGGCGGGTGTTCTAAACCGCTCATCAAAGCACTCATTCGAGGCCTGGACAAAGACTCCTTTACTTGCAGAGATTCATCTTCAGAACGCTTTGCAAATTTGTAGCTATGCCAGACAAACCAACATGGTACCAGAATTCTCACATTTATATTCAATCTTTGCTTCTCTTTATAGTCCCACAAAGCGCACAAAGCTCGAGGAGTATTGAGGACATGCACGGGGTAAGACCAGGCTACTAGCCTAAAATCAGCCGCAAAAGGGAGAAAGGCAAGCAAGAACATGTGGCTTGAAACAAGGCCATTCATAGCTTCTTTCGAACATGAACATGTTCCCTCCAGGGCTCTCGGGTGAAATCCAGGTAGCTCGTGCCAAAATCTGCCATCACCACCCCCATTGCCTCCACCATCAAGTCAACCAAGCTCCAGTTGGATCTGCGTATAGCCTAACAACAGCGCGGAGACTTGGTTGGAACCGTGTTGGAAGCGTGTTGCATTGCACACAGAGGCCCGAAGCTTTGGGTCGGATTCTGCCGGATCATCAGTTCGATGGTTCGGCCGTCTGGAAACCGCTTCGGGAGCTGAACATCGCGGTTTGGCACCACTTTCTGAGGCAAAAGCACCGTTCCTGGTGATGCTTCTAATGCTAGCTGAGATGAGTGCATCTTTTTGCTGGATAGAACATGCTCAGGCTTAGCATGTGCGACATACATACCCTCACAAAGGATGCTCCGAGTCAATATCGCACTCAACCCAACACCTCTGCCATCTCTCTGCCATCGCACTCGCACCCACCACTCTCTCTCTCTCTCTCTGCCATCGCACTCGCACCCAACCCACGCCACGCCACGCCTCCGCTGTCCAAAGGACAGACCAGCTGGGTGTGATGAAGTCATTGGTCGCATTCCAGGTGTCGTCCACACTCCTGGGTCACTCGGCGCTCGGCGCCGTGAAGGACGGCGTTGGGAGAGTTGGGATCCAAGTCAACAGAGGAGCCCAAAACGTCCGCGGGCTGTGCTCACCTTGTTTTTTTGCATGGCCCCGGTATACGAACAGAGTCCGACAAAGTCTTTCAACTGTTCGCCAGCCCAGCAGGAACATTCGAAGGATCTAAAAACATCACCTCGTGGCCACCTGAACTGCGGGCACCAGCCCAGCCTAAAGGGATGAAAGCGAACGAAGAGTGTGACTCAGTGCATCATCCGCGAATCTTCCAACTCTTCCATCTTCAACTGCCAAACACCAGGCGAACTCATTGAAAACCTGGCTAACTCGTTGATCCAGGAAAGCCCAACCAGGAATCCAAAGATGCCAGGTTCAACGAGTCACGGCATCCAATGACCCACCGTGTCTCGCGACGACGTAAACGCCGACCGAAACGAAGGACCGCATGGCCATCGATCATCTACTGCCACGAATGAGGTCCAAGCAACGGCAGCACAGCGGTGCACACATCACTGGGGCAAAGCAAGTGAAGGGCGGAATCCTTACAACGCGAGCTTGTGACATCTGCAGCGGGGAAAAGCAATTGCACGCGGTTCGGTTGCGCGCGCAGCCCTGGCCCCTGCGGTTCGGGAAACGCGGGGGGAATTTGGTCTCAACGCGTTCAACCGTTAGCCTAGAAGTCCAAAATCTATATGTTCACCGGCTGAAGTAAAGGAAGTTCAATAGGAAGTTCCCTTTCAGGTCCCTTATTGACTCCCAGGGGTTATGTTTGGCTTAGCAACCTCTCCCATGGGGCATCCGTGGATGTTGCTGACTTGGTCGGACTGGTCCTTGACAAA